TAGTTGGTTCTTATTATTGCTCAACTCCTCTATTGCTTTTTTAATCTTCTTTCATTAAAAATGTCATTAAGTGAGGCAAGGGTCAGCAGATGGTGTGGGGGGTTAAGACAGTATATCCCACATAGCCATCTCCATGGTTTGAGTCCTGGACCTGGTGGCTTGTGCATGCATGCCTAAAATATCAAGAGCAGAATGGAGGAGAGGGATTGCAGCATAACCATCTCTACTGGGGGGTGATTTCTCACTTCCCTTCTCACCATCTCTCTCTGGCAAGTGCCCTATGGCAAAAACCTAAAAAAAGAATGTTAGTTTTTGCTTCATATATCTTTAAGTTGTTTTATCTCTTTAAGTATACATGCATGCACATTCATAATTATTTTATTCTCTTGATGGACTGACCATTCTATCATTCGAAACAATTTCTCTCTCGTAACAATTTTTGTCTTATACTCTATTTTGTCTGATACTAGTGCTCTAGCTATTTTAGCTCTTTATTGCTTATTATCCGTGGTACAGCTTTCTTCCAACCTGTTTTCATCTTTTAATCCAAAATAGGTCTCTGGCAGGTGGCATGGAGTCGAGTCATTTTCCCCATCGTGCCAATTCCTGCCTTCTAACTGGTGTGTTAACACATGTACTTTCAGTGCAGCTATCGATATGGCGGGATTTATAGCTGCCATTTTGCTACTCGTTTTTTGTACATCTCTGTCTTGTTGTATTTTACTGCCTTTGTTTGTGTTAGATATTTTTTATTGTACCACTTTGATTCCCTGGTTTATTTTTGTATGTTACTGTTTTTTAATTATTTTAGCCTTCTCTGTGGATTTTAATTTACATTTTAGCTTTCGTTTTCAGACTTACTCCAGTTTAACTGCAGCAGTACCATTCTCTCTCTCCATCTTCCTGATCTTTTTATTGTCATACAAATGACATAGTGATACATTGTACCCATCAGCATAGGTTTATAGTCATTTATTCATGCAGATATCTCTTAAATTACATAGGAAAAAATGCATTTATACTCTCTCATTTTTACTTAAATATTTACCACTACTAGCATTTTTTATTGTTTTCAGTGGATTCAAGTTACTGCATAATGACCTTTCACTTCCCCTGAAGGACTCTCTTTAGTTGTCTATTGTGGAGTCCATCTGCTGTTACTAAACTTTTTTAGTCTTTCTGTACTTGGGAATATCTTATTTTCGTCTTCATTTTGAAAGCTAGGTTTTCTGGATAAAGAATCCTTACATGGGCCAGCCAAATACTGCAGTGGTTAAGCACTGTGCCTTGAAGGTCTGACCCACATAGCTGACCGCCGGCCAAGTCCTGGCCCCCACAACTAGGAAAAAATATGTTGGACATATATGTATGTCAAAATCCTGACAGGAAGGAGGAATGAAGGACAAAGGATTGTGGTGTGACCATACTTTGTTGGGGGTTTCTCTCGTTTTCTCTCTCTCTCTCTCTCTCTCATGCACATGGTTGTATGTACACCCACTTGGTTAATAAAAATTAAAAAAGAATTTTTAGTTGACAATCTTTCTCATAGTATTTGGATTGGATCGTGGCTTCTCAGTGCCTTCTTTTTTTTTTTTTTTTGAGAGGTTTTTACTATAGGGTGCATGCGCTCTCCAGAAAGAGACAGAGAGAGAAATCACCCCTCAGGAGGGATGGCCATGCCACAATCCCTTCTCCTCCATTCTCCTCTCAGGATCTTGAGCATGCACCTGCACTCAGTGTGAGTTTAAGCCACCAGGTCTAGGACTTGAACCACCGCCTACTACATGGGAGTCCAGCGACATAGCCATTACGCCAACTGCTGGTCCCAGAGCCTTCTAGACTCTATGCTTTCCATTAGAATCAGCAATTAATATTATTAAGTATCCTTTGCATGAGATGAGTTGCTGCTGTCTTGCTCCTTTCAAGATTCTCTTTCCATATTTGTCTTTCAAGAGTTTGACAATGACATGTATGTATGTGATTCTCGAAATTCATCTTATTTGTTGCTCGTCTTGGATGTATAAATTAAAGGTTTTTTAAAATAAAATTTAAGAAGTTTTCTGCGATTTTTTTCCAAATCATCTTTCTCCCCTTTTCCCTTTCTGGGTATTTCATTTTACACATGGTCATGCATTTAATGCTGTCCCACAGGTTTCCAATGTTTCACTTATTTTCTTCATATTTTTGCTTCTTCAGACTGGATTCATCTCAATTTATCTATCTTCAAGTTGACAGAGTCTTTCTTCTGCCTACGCATCTCTGCTGATGAGCCTTTCCAGTTAATTATTTTATTTTCATTATTGCATTTTGCAACGTCAGGGTTTTTGTTCCGTGTCAATATTAAAATTCTCTATTAGATGAGACACTCTTTTTATAGTTTTCTTCAGTTGTTTAGAAGAGAGATTCTTTAGTTCTTGGAATATATTGAAAATAGCTGTCTTCAAGTCTTTGTCTACTAAGTCCAATGTCTCAGGTTCCGGAGGGACACTTTTTATTGATCTGTATGTATGTGCTTGTAGGAGTGGGGCATACTTTTGGTTTATTTTGCATATGTCAATTTTTTGTTTAATATTGGACATTTAATTAATGTGTCAGCTCTGTAAATAACATTTTCTTGGGGTTTTTCTTATTTGTTTAGTGATTTTCCTAAATACAGAATTCTGTAAAGTCTGTATTTATCATGTGTTGCCACTGAAGTCTCCTTTGTATTAGCTTAATAGTCAACTAACGAATGGTTAGAGTTCAGTGAATGTGTGGAAGCTTCTTAATCTTTCCAAGAACTTTCTGGTGCACATTGGGGCCAGTCTTCAGTAACAACCAATCATTTAACAATTAACTTTGCCTTAATCTTTTATTTCCTTCTTGTACTGAATCTCAAGGATAGTCAGAGACAGAGCTCAGAGCCGTCTCAGATTCTTTCTGGCATGGATTTGGCTTTCAAGTTTCCCAGGAATATGTCAGAGCTTTTCAAAGCCTGTGTGGTCAATCATTCCCCACATTTCCTTTATTTTATTTTATTTTATTTTATTTTATTTTTTTACTCACGATAGAGAGTGTGTGTACATGCACACACATGAGGAGAGTCTCATCATGCCACCATCCTCTTTCCCAAGCCCTCCAGCTCATCGGGCATCTGGGACGATCTGGTATTTTGTAGGTCGACTGGGCCAGAGATCGGAACCGGAGGTTGGCCACGTGGCTTATTTCACCGCTGACTGCACTGCTGGGGCTAGGACTGGGGCCCTATTTTTCTTTTTAAACTTTTTTTTTTGGAGAGGTTTTCACTATAGGGCGCGTGCGCTCGCCAGACAGACAGAGAGAGACAGAGAGACAGAAAGCGAGAAATCACCCCCCGGGGGGATGGTCACGCCACAATCCCTTCTCCTCCATTCTCCTCTTGGGATCTTGGGCACGCACGCATACGCGCCCGGCGTGAGATTTACGCCACCGGGTCCGAGCTGCGAACCGCGGTCGACTACGTGGGAGTCCAGCGACATAGCCATTACGCTAACTGCTGGTTCCCCTTTTTAAACTTTTTGATTTGGCTCTAATTTTCTCAGCTTTTCTTCACCAATTCACACAGCTGAAATCTTAATCATCTCTGATAGTTTTATTATTTTTTTTTATTACCCCTTGGGAAAGGGCTTTTTTTTTTTTTTTTTTGGGAGAGATTTTTCACTGTAGGGCGCGTGCGCTCGCCAGACAGAGAGAGACATAGAGACAGA